GGGGGGTTGGTGAAGATTTAAAATGTTATTGTCTGGAAAATTTTTTGGTTTGTCGGAAAAATTTTTCGGTTTGTCGGAAAAGTACTGCCATTGGCCCCTCCCCCAAAAAACATGGGTCCCACAGCACCACTGATTTTATCACAAATGAGTTTTTACCTACTAGTACTAGAATGTGTTTTTGATAGATATTAATATTATGTGACTACATGCAACACTGTATAATGTTGATTAACCCATTAAGCACCAGTGCTCTCCCCTTGACGAGTAAAATCGTCTGGTGTTAGACAGAGTAAAATACTAAAGTAGGGTGCATCGGGGTGCAATGCGACTCAATAAGTTAACCCATTGAGTGGCAGCCCTCTCCCCTTGATGAGTAAAATTATCTGGCATTAGAATTTAAGAGTAAAATAATGGGTGCATTGCCGCTTAAAGGGTTAATGCTAATATCACTATACCATTCTTCCAAGTTTTTCAAAAATCGTTCCAACAGTAGCCATTCCTGCCCTTAAAAATGAAAAAAAAAATGAAAAAAAAAACAAAGTAAAAAAATATGACCAGTACAGTTATGACAAAATTAAATGCAAGTTTACATAGCATTTTACTTCATTTCGTAAAGAAAAATGTTCAAGCATCCATATTTCTAGCTCAATTTTCATTGGATCAAGTGATACTTTTCAATTAGTATTTTGTTAGATCTCTTAGAGTTACACAGGTTCAAGAAGCATGATAAACTTTGGGGAGCCCAATTCCACCATGGTTGGCACAGAGCGGGATTATCGGAAATGGGATTTTCAGAGATTCACTCCCTTTCATAGGACCTTTCGTAAGTCTATGCTATCCATTGGGTTATCATGGATTATTATGTTTAATTGGTCGATCAACACAATTTTTTTTAAATTCATTTTTTTTTGGGGGGGGGACAAAAGCTATTCTCCCCCCCTATAAAATATTAGGGGAACACGCCCGCTGACCCCCCTGCTTCCTAAGCCCCTGCAGAGTTAGATACAAACAAGAATACATTGCTTACAATTTAACAGATAAGTTGGCATCATCCTTCCCCTTGATTATATCAGAACAAGTATTGACTGTATCAAATGCACTGAACTGGTCACCACTAAGATACAGCTGAGCGAAACATCGTCCAAGCAGTTGTCGTGTTGGTGGACCACAGTCACCATATAAATGCTTTGATAATCCATCAACTAAATCTTTCAGGCTTGCTTTTAAATCAGCCTAAAAGAGAATGCATTTTGGTATTTGTCAGGGTAATTATCTTTTTTCATTCATTCTTATTGGTGGTTTACATCCTAAACTACGCTAACCTTTCATATTTTAACCAGTAAGCCTACCTTTTTCACAACATTTAAACTGTCCTCAAAGTTTTTTAACCATTCGTAGACAAAAACTGGCTGCTTTTTAGCTGGCAATCTTTGAAATTCTCGTTCGTTGAATGCGATAAGCTGGCCATAAGCCTGCGACATCTTGACTCAACTCCTTAATTCGTGGATTCTAATTCATCAGTTTTAAAAATTACAAAATAATATTGATAAAAACTAATTTTACAACTTGCTTTTTCTCATCCGAGATTTAAATTTTCTGTTTTTATAACTTTTTAAGCCCGCTCCCCCGGATTTTCATGCGCCTTCGTTATTGATGCAGATATCGGCTATACTTCATTTAAAAACGCGTTTAATGTTATAAATTTATTTTTTCGTATTTTATTGCAATTTTGTTGCAGTTAGCGTTCAATTTGACTTATATTTCAATAGCATTTTAATTTTTATACCTTATTAGACAGAATTTGTTTATAGGATAAGAGAATACAAAAAAAATATTAGCTTTATTTTTCCAAATACCCGATTGTACTTCCACTTCACTGTATGGCCAACCTCCTTCTCGTTCAACTCATTTTCCAAAAACATCGTATAATTTCTTTACGCTTTTAAAAGTCTTTTACTAAGAAAAAAGTCCCATATTTTACTATCTCGGAAACTCATAAATTGAAGTGACCAACTATTCAGTTCAACCCTTCTCATTTATAAATTTGTTAAGTAAACAATCTGCTTCAATAATTTATCGCCAATTTATAGTAAAAAATTTCCTCTCGAAATAAAGTTTCATCTATAATAAGTGGAAGCTTTATAAATGAATGAACTAGTTTTATTGTACTTTTGTACTTTTATATGTAAAAAATTATGTAAATTTTCTTTGTAAATTATCAAAATACGAATTTCCTCACTACACTAGCCTAAATCTGGAATGAAAACGTCCTTGTATACAAAGTAACGACGCGGTTAGTAAAAAACACGAGCAGTTTTCACCTGTCAAAATTCAAGATGGCCGACTCTGGGAAAATGTCAGAACCTGGTATTCCCGTTGTCACACGCTTATTCTTCTACGGTATGCTAGGATTTTCCACCGAAGTTATGTTTACAGCTCTCTGGTACGTTTTGGATAGCAAGTACAATTTTGGTTGGACTTTACACGGCTGTACATCCGTATGGGCTTTTCCTATATACGCCGTGTCGATGTATGCCATTGAACAAATGTTCTTGTCGCTTCATACAAAAGTACCCTTGGCAGTTCGTGGGATGGTTTACCTGTTGTGGACATACCTGTGGGAATTTACGACCGGGTATATATTGCGTCTGTTTGCCGCGTGTCCCTGGGATTACCATGATTACACAACCTACCACGTCATGGGGCTCATCACCTTCGACTACGCACCTCTATGGTATATTGGGACCATAATCCTGGAGACCATATTCATCAAGCGTGTTCTGCTCTTGCAATACCCAAAGTTAAAGGACTATTAAGTTTGTTAAAGTTTAGCTTGAAAGGATATTTAATTTATTTAAGAGAATTCTATTTATAAATGTTATTAAAGATATGAGTTTACGTTATATATTTAATTATTTTCTAGAGGTCATTCTGTAACTGTCAGTTACTAATTGTTTGCATCAGACTGTAATATAACACTTTTATTAAATAAACTTTCAGTATTTATTAAGTAAAGTTTTACCGTTTGTCTATTAAGTTTTGCCTTTGCTAAGTCTATGGAGTATGCGTGGGTTACAAATAGGCCCTTTCAAAATGTCAAAACAAACAATGGAATATTCCAATCACTGGATCCTGATTGGATGGTGCCCATTCTTGTTAAATAATCTTGCAATTTTTGCTACTTGGCTATTTAGTTTCACTACAACAATCGTCTGTCAAGATATATATGGTGGTCTGGAAGCCTGGCAAACTTCAGAGCCACAAAATAAAAACCCTTTGTTTGATGTTGAACTGTACCTTCACGGTACACAAATCCTTTGTCTCAACTTCATATTATTCATTCGTGGTTGCACATTTCACTTCAGCTATCTAGGACTGTTCGGTATACCGAAAATATCGGTATTAAATCAATATCGGTATATCGATACCGGATATTCAACCATACCGATATACCGAAATTTCGGATACTCAGTATACCGGAATTTTTTGGTATACCGTGTTAAATTTACCAACTATATGGCGAAACCATAACCTTTATTTTACTACTGAATGGCAATTCAAAGAACTTTCTACTGCAAAGATTTAGAATTTCCACTTCAATGAGATTTTACACTGAGTACGTGCATGTCGTTCGCAACATGTTCGAAACAGCTTCGAAATTATCGTTTTCCCTTTTAGAATTACTCAAAATTTCCTTCAAACTTCCATTAAAGAAATTTCCTTTATAATTATCAAAGGAAAACCGGTATACCGATAATATCGGTATAATTTTTTCGGAATACCGATACCGGAAATTTCTCATACCGAACATTCCTACAGCTATCCCTATTGGATGATTACTTCATTATACGAAAATCCAATGAGCTCAATCACCGTGACCGTGCACAAATTAACATAAACTCCGACAAAAACATCACACAATGACTTCTGTTTAGTTTCCAGACTATCATATCTTGATAGACTGTGCTACCTACTTTCCGAAAGAGTATAAATTATTGCAGATCTTTTACTTTGATTATTTCATCAGCTATTTCGATTTCATTTTCGGATCCATGACCACAGAAACAATTTGTGCGTCTGATTCTATCTTGCAAGAATATCTGGAAAACAAGCATTGCATGAGAAAATTATCAGTTAGATAATTTCCGGCGTTAAATCTCGTATTTCTTTCCTGAGTGGAATTAATGACTTTGACACAAACGGAAATTCTATTATTCTACGGTACGTTACGATACGATTAAAGACAATACTGGTAGAAAGATAATTGTATATCTTACTTCGTTCCAGACGGGACCAAAATTACATCACTATTCACCAATTTAGTGTCGACACCGTTGCAGGTAAAATTTGAATTGCCATTCTAAAATAACAGACGATAAATACGATATGAGATAAAGCGGACAATATTTTGTAATTTCATAAAAGTGATAGACTGTATGATCATGACCACCTTTTCTGAAAGTAAAGTAACAAAAATATATATAAAAGTGTAAACTCTTAGAAATATGAACCCTTACAATTTGCCAAAGCCATGTTTCTGAGTCACCATCCGTAAAATAGTCACCTGGTCCGTGGACTGTTATCTGTATTAGTTAGAAATGGAAACATTTTGTAAATAAGAAATTCGCGCGTTTTCACAGGGCCATTTTCACTCAAGAAAATTTTCCACGGACAGAAAATTTTCCGAAAATATCTTCAAAATAACTTCAAAATAATTTAATAATATCAACTTCAAAATAATTTAAGACAAAACTAAATTTCTTCATTAATTAACAAGGAGTACCAACTATTATAGGTATTCCACGTATATACGTTACCTTTGTCTGTCCAGTTTCGAAAAGAACTTTGCAACCTTTTTCTTTTATTTCAGATTTATTGTCTTCAACCCACTGAAAATAAATTTAATTGACATTATGAACTTAGCAATAAAAAAATACACTACAAATACAATGCTATATATAATTGTACTTTACAGGTTTTTCAACTGACTGAGTTTGTTTAAACTTAAACTGTTAAAACAAGAAATTTAGCATTACTCGAATAAAAATCAATTTACTAAACTTTGGTAAGTATAAGTAACGGAGTGTTTAAAAAAAACGATCATTTATACCTTTCGCAGCGAGAACGGATCATGTAGTTTAGTTGTCGTATCAAGCTGAAATGGTGGCTTATCTGTGATCGTGCCTGTAAAACAACGGACGCACTGTATATACGTATGGACCACGAAAAATTTGTCCTTCCCATTTGTTGGCCCTTCACATGAAAATTTACTGAAAATAGTTAGCTACTTACACTTCAAAAATCTCATAGCTTATCAACAAGAAATGTTCGCACTACTTATTCCCAGTTGTTGACAATTCTGGAACAACTGTTTTTGTCTTGTAACAAGGTTGATGAGGCGAATTAACAGACACTCGCAACAAGCTGTTCCAGCAAGTCTGATATCGTTTGCACGTAAGAAGTTGTTAACAACAAGCTCGTAGCAACTTGTTACGAACAGCCTGTATCAGACTTGTTGGAACAACTTGTAGCAAGTCTGTTCACGTCATCAACCACGTAACAAAATAATGACAACTTGTTCCAGACTTGTTGCAACAACGGGCACATTCTGATATCGGCTTAACAATTACAACGTTGTTAGAACTTGTTTGAAGATCTGTAACAAATTGCGCGTTTTCACCCCTTTCATGTGAACGGAACTAAGGAGAATTGCCCAAATTTGTCTATGGTATCTGGTTCAGTGTGAATTAATCAGCCTTTATATACTCTTTCACGAATGTCGAGAGATTTTACTGGCACATAATCACTAATTTGTATTAATTGCAATGGAATCTATAGGCCTACCTGGAATTGGTTTGCCTGTTTTATGTTGTTCAGATGTAAAAAACCTACAAACGTCAATATAAGACCAAGATTTTAAGAAATAACTTCAGCAGCGAACAGGAAGATAATGGTTCCCTAGCTGGTCTTAATTATTGATAATTAAAGTTAATAGCCATTATTGAACAAACTCTCTCGAGTCTCTCTCTCTTGGTCAATTAAATGTTAAAAAAATAAGCATACGACGTACGATTTAACGATTGGAACCAAGTCTTTTCCCAGGTCAGTACAATGGAACCATTTCTCAAACAAGATGGTTGTGTTGTCTTCACAGTAATACCTTGAGAAAAGTGATATTTTCTTGATTGAGTGGAAATAGGCAATTAGCGGCTGTAGGGGATGTGAGGCGGAATGATTTTGATGTATTGAAATTTTACGTATTTTTCTCGTGAAAGATGTCACCTCCCCCCTAGTGACAGCCCTGTGCACAGTACCTGAGGCAGTCCTGCTCCCCCTCCTCTCGTTCTCTTTCAATTACCTGTATATTACATAAAATATGATGGGATAATGTACTGGTTTATGTCAATCAAATCAAAATCTAGATGCCTGATTACATACAGACATAATACAGTGAATAAAACTGTATCATCTTCATTAACCCATTGGATCACATTGTACCCCAATGCAGCCTTATTGGCTATTAATAAAATAAAATAAATAATAATAATAACTTTATTCATTCATCAAGGGGAGAGCGCTGGCACTCAATGGGTGAAATATAAAATAGATTCGCCTTACCAAGCCAACAGTGTTTTCTGACCTTTGAGGACTATGCGGAATATGACAAGGCAACATAAATACCTAAAAATAGAATATATAATCTCCTTAGACCTGCGTCCCATATTTGCTGATAATAGAGAATTAGAGAGGTGTCTTTATTAGAGGAAGTAACAAATGAATTCTAAAATTCATGCAACTAATACAGTAAGCAGAACAACAAGGAAAAACAACTATATAAATGAACTCTCTCTTTTTACTAAATGCCCGGCTGTTCATAAATGTAGCAGCAATGTTTTCAGAAGAATCAATCAAATTTTCAGAATGTAGTGCTCACAAAATATTCATTAGCAAAAATTGCCATCTGACTCAATAATTTCATTTTCTGCTGTCTGCAGCATCATCGGCAGCAATTGCCATTTGCTGCTGAAAAATTGCGAGGACTGAGAGGTGGCTGTAAGGAGATGTGTGACTACATACAATTAAATTCAATAAAAATGCAGTTTGTGTGACAGAATGTTAGGTAGGTATAAAAGATCTTTTGATTCCAATCTAATGACAGACGTTAGATGTTATTAAGAACCAACCTCTCCTTCTCTGATTATTATGTCCTTTGGTTTCCCTTGCTCCATCACCCTCAGACACATGTCACCTTTCACCATGTAAAAAAACTAAATCATTGAAATGACAAATTGTCAAATTGAAATTGCAAGAGTAGAGTTAAATATGAGGCAATATTAGGGGTGCCCCGGAACTCAGTTCCGGCCGGAACTAACTGGCCGGAACTGATTTCCGGTGCACCCCTAATATTGACCCCCAATTTACTAGTAAAAAAAGCATGGCCGGAACCGGGAACTCTGTCGTTTTCAGAGAGATAGAATATCAAACGTTTTTGCATGTGTCTAACAAAAGGTCATAGTAGGAAGAAATTTGGACTATGCAAGGGAAATGTACACTATTAAAGGGGAAGTCAAGTCCGTTCTGCGCATCGGTTCTGCGCATAACAATAGAGGGCCCTCTGAGGTAAACATTGCCCAAATTTTGAATGTTTCGAATTTTTCTGAACACAAACTCTATTTCATATTCA